AGGTAGGTAGGTAGGTAGGTAGGTAGGTAGGTAGGTAGGTAGGTAAAGAGAATAGTAGGCCATGTAGGTAGGTAGGTCAAGAAAATAGTAGGCCATGTAGGTAGGTAGGTAGGTAGGTAGGTAGGTAGGTAGGTAGGTAGGTAGGTAAGTAAGTAAAGAGAACAGTAGGCCAGGTAGGTAAAGAGTACAGTAGGCCAGGCAGGTAGGTAGGTAAAGAGACCAGTAGGCCAGGTAGGTAAAGAGTACAGTAGGCCAGGTAGGTAGGTAGGTAGGTAAGTAGGTAGGTAAAGAGAACAGTAGGAGCACCTAACTCAGCTGTTTACACTATCATCTAAGACAACACTCATAACACAGGTCTGGAAGCAGTAAGTCACATGCAGGATCATCACAACTCTTTAATGTTCCATGTCATTTCAGTAGTCATGGAGAAATGTTCCCGCTTTTACCCAAATCAAAATTAAAGCACATTATCGTTACAATAAAGACTTCATTGGAAAAACAGAGACGATGCCTTGCAATTTGTGAGGACCAAAGTACAACACTTCAGTGGTGGACCAGTCGGTGCTGGGAAGCACGCTGTCTCAACAACAGACGGATGGCTCCCTTCTTCTACGCAGCGCATAGACAGAGCGGAAAAAGACAAACGGAAAGATGGTGAGGAAATGAACAACAGTTTAGAGGGAGCCCAGAGGTTGGGTGTATGATGTACCTGGGTTGTTTACTCGTCAGTGATGTCTCTCTCTATCACTCTCTTGCCTGTTTTTCCAACTTGTTTTCCAGTGTTTGTGTGACTGGACAATGTGCTTTTTCCACAAAAGGTTCCGTCTCATAATTGAGGTTTACTCCTTATCCACAGAGACACACAGTGCCAACTCAGTGGCCTTGTGGTTATTGTCCGCCCTGAGATTGGGAGTTCAATGCCCGGCTGAGTCATACCAAAGACTGTAAAAATGGCACCTGATGCGTCTCTGCTTGGCACTCAGCATTAAGGAGATAGATTGGGGGTAAGGCCCTGCGATAGACTAGCATCCTGTCCAGGGGGTGTACTTGTATATCATACTGCCTCGCTACAGAAACAGGACAGGCTCTTGCTCCTATAAGCCATTCCGGCTCATGCAAGGCTACTTATTTACAGAGACACACACATACAGTCCCCTAAACCCATCACCAACCCATCATAGGAAACACTGAGTCCTGGTCGCTGGAATGTTCTCCATTATAGTTCCATTCTGTGTTCTTGCCAGAACATCATTACGTAGAATCCTCTGTCTGTATTCTTAAGCCCCAGTGGGAGTGCTCAGGCCTCTGACGCATTTGGCCTCTGCAGACCCAGGGACGCTATAGTCACCACAAGGCATTCACCAGGGGCCAGCTAGTGGCTTGTTGTCTGTATTTCTGGCTTCAAATCCGGCCTGTCTTCTTTTTAGGAAAATGTCACTGTGGTGGTGGCTCCTTCTATGGGTGGCTGTGGAATGACAGCCCAGATTGTAACAGGTGATCCAAACATTAGGAACACCTGCTCTTTCCATGACATAGACTGTCCAGGTGAATCCAGGTGAAAGCTATGATCCCTTATTGATGTCACTTGTTAAATCCACTTCAATCAGTGTAGATGAAGGGGAGGAGACAGGTTAAAGAAGGATTTTTAAGACTTGGGACAATTGAGACATGGATTGTGTATACAGTGTGTGCTATTCAGAGGGTGAATGGGCAAAACAAAAATATTTAAGTGCCTTTGAACAGGGTATGGTAGTAGGTGCCAGGCGCACTGGTCTGTGTCAAGAACTGCAACGCTGCTGGGTTTTTCACACTCAACAGTTTCCCGTGTGTATCAACAATGGTCCACCACCCACAGCACATCCAGCCAACTTGACACAACTGTGGGAAGCATTGGATTATTATTATTATTATTATTATTATTAACATGGGTCAGCAACCCTGTGGAACACTTTCGACACCTTGTAGAGTCCATGCCCTGACGAAGAGGCTGTTCTGAGGGCGGGGGGTGGGGGGTTGCAACTCAATATTAGGAAGGTGTTCCTAATGTTTGGTATACTCAGTGTATGTATTATACAAATAAATCTAAATAAATAAAGCGTTGAATATTGATATTTTAAATATGTTGCATTCTTTATTCAATCTGTTAACGGCAACATTTGGTAAATTCCCTGTTCTCCAAAAAACAAAATGACATAAACATCATCCATCACCAAAGACATGAAACATTCATTGACAAGATGCAGTGACGTGAACAGACTTTGTGAGATGCAGTGGACACGCATCGCTTAACCCTAACTCACCCCACAGACAGGGTCATCATCAGGGCAATTGCAACACTTAGGCTGTGTATGTACAGTTTGTTCCAACAGTCTTGACAACATCTCCTTCCCTTCATGACAACTGTAAAGACACTTGGAAGGTAAAAATCTATACAAGAGAATCCATCGCTTTTAACATTTGATAAACATGAGAGATACGAGGAGAGGAAAGGAGGGGGCATTGGGACATATGAGGCTAGCTAATGAGGATACAACAGCATGCTGAAAGGGTTAGACTAAAAAAAACTGTTAGAATCAGAGCCATATAGAGTACCACAGTATGAGTCATAATACCCATAAAACCTAAAACAGGGAAATGGTTCCAATAATCTTTCCACCATTCATTTTTCCCATAGGGAATTTTAGCAACACTTAAAATAAGGGCTGTTTTTCATTTAGGCTTACCCTGGCGTGACGTTTTGATAATCATGTAAATCTCTATGACAAGATTACTTTTATCAATGTATTCGCCTGTATTTACACCCCCAAAAAAGAAAGCCACTTTAGCAGCTAATTAGTTATCATAAAGAACTACAAATGCCATGATGATCTGGACGAGACTGCCGAATCAAGGCAAAGGTAAGAATCTCTGGATTAACTATCTAATGTTAGCTAAATGTAGTAATTAATAAATAGGCAACATTTCTTTAAATGGACAATTCTGTGAACTGTCTTGTGCAAGTTTTAAATTGACACAATAACTGTTAGCAAAGGTATCAGTCAGCGATGACGTGCAGGAGCTTGCAGGGATTTGTAGTTTTGCATTGTGTCTAATTGGATGCTAATTAAATTTTTTCGAATCAGAGTAAATAGAGCCGAATATATTTATAAAAGTAATGTTGTCCGAGAGAGATTTACATGGTTATCAAAACGTCACGCCAGGGTAAGCCTACACGAAACACAACCCTTAATTTAAGCGTTTCTAAAATCCCCTATGGGAAAAATGAATGGTGGAAAAACGATTGGAACCATTTCCCTGTTTGACTGCTAGGTTTTATGGGTATTATGACACCTCCACTGTGGGGCTCTATAGAGGTCAGGTCAGAGCTAGCTATGCCCTCTATTTGAATCACTGGGCTAAGGGATACTCACAATAGGTGAACTAGCAATGAACAACATTAGCACCAATTTCAACTGTTTTGTAAAATTTAACAAAAGGCTAGAGACATTCAGTTAGGTGAAAGTATACAGTGGCTTGCGAAAAGTATTCACCACCCTTGGCATTTTGTTGCCTTACAACCCGGAATTAAAATAGATTTTTTGGGGGCTTGTATCATTTGATTTACGCAACATGCCTACCACTTTGAAGATGCAAAATATGTTTTATTGTGAAACAAACAAGAAATAAGACAGAAAACCAGAAAACTTCAGCGTGCATAACTATTCACCCCTCCAAAGTCAATACTTTGTAGAGCCACCTTTTGCAGAAATTACAGCTGCAAGTCTCTTGGGGTATGTCTCTATAAGCTTGGCACATCTAGCCACTGGGATTTTTGCCCATTCTTCAAGGCAAAACTGCTCCAGCTCCTTCAAGTTGGATGGGTTTCGCTGGTGTACAGCAATCTTTAAGTCATACCACAGATTCTCAATTGGATTGAGGTCTGGGTTTTGACTAGGCCATTCCAAGACATTTTAATGTTTCCCCTTAAACCACTCGAGTGTTGCTTTAGCAGTATGCTTAGGGTCATTGTCCTGCTGGAAGGTGAACCTCCGTCCCAGTCTCAAATCTCTGGAAGACTGAAAAAGGTTGCCCTCAAGAATTTCCCTGGATTTAGCCCCAGCCATCATTCCTTCAATTCTGACCAGTTTCCCAGTTCCTGCCGATGAAAAATATCCCCACAGCATGATGCTGGTGTTCTCAGGGTGATGAGAGGTGTTGGGTTTGCGCAGACAAAGCTTCATTTTAGTCTCATCTGACTAGAGTACCTTCTTCCATATGTTTGGGGAGTCTTTTTTTCTTTAAGCAATGGCTTTTTTCTGGCCACTCTTCCGTAAAGCCCAGCTCTGTGGAGTGTACGGCTTAAAGTGCTCCTATGTACAGATACTCCAATCTCAGCTGTGGAGCTTTGCAGCTCCTTCAGGGTTATCTTTGGTCTCTTTGTTGCCTTTCTGATTAATGCCATCCTTGCCTGGTCCGTGAGTTTTTGTGGTGCCATATTCTTTCCATTTTTTAATAATGGATTTAAATGGTGCACCGTGAGATGTTCAAAGTTTCAGATATTTTTTTATAACCCAACTCTGATCTGTACTTCTCCACAACTTTGTCCCTGACCTGTTTGGAGAGCTCCTTGGTCTTCATGGTGCCACTTGCTTGGTGGTGCCCCTTGCTTAGTGGTGTTGCAGACTCTGGGGCCTTTCAGAACAGGTGTATATATACTGAGATCATGTGACACTTAGATTGCACACAGGTGGACTTTATTTAACTAATTATGTGACTTCTGAAGGTAATTGGTTGCACCAGATCTTATTTAGGGGTTTCATAGCAAAGGGGGTGAATACATATGCACACACCACTTTTCCGTTATTTATTTTTTATAATTATTTTAAACAAGTTATTTTTTTCATTTCACTTCACCAATTTTGACTATTTTGTGTATGTCCATTACATGAAATCCAAATAAAAATCCATTTAAATTACAGGTTGTAATGCATAGGAAAATAGGAAAAACGCCAAGGGGGATGAATACTTTTGCAAGGCACTGTAACACTTTGTGAACACTCTCCGCAGAGTCAGCAGAAAGTGGATGTTTCTGGTTTTCAGTGTTACAGTATTTTCAACCGAACTTCCGTTTCCACTGAACAACGTGGGGACTCCGCTCAGGTGTCTTTCTACGCCTGCTACGTTAGGTTGCTTTGTGAATGTACTGTAAGGCCTGTAAAGACACTTATGAAGAGAAATACATTTGTTTTGATGGAAGAGCTCGACCATATTCACAGCAGTGTGTGTTGGATACTTTGAGGTTAAGGTGGACTATGTAATGAGCTTTTTTTCAGTCAACCATTTTCTTGTCTCAAACAATAAGACACATAAGACTAATGCAAATAGGATACGTAATGTTAAAATTTGAAATAAAATAGGAAGGTTTAGCATGTCGTTATAATACATTTGATATATAATTATTTTTTAAATAAATTAAAGTATAGTCACTTTTTCTAAATCTGTGTTTTAAATCCATAGACATTAAGTTTATATCTTGCAAACTAGTCATATCTGTCATTCTCAATACGTGCCTGTGGATTGGTGGATGCTTTAAAACACTTAAGAAATCTACCTAAACTAAGTTGAGAAAGAATATATATGGCCTACAATTTGATCGATGTTGGCACAATGGTGTAACACAACATTTACAAAATGGAGTCACTCCTATCCAGTACATGTGAAACAAAACTCTATGGCCCTCAGGCCAATGTCCTGGTCAACATACAAACAAAATATGTAGAAGGAACAACTGATAATAGATTCTTATACAACTATAAAGAGTGAGTCAAAACAGTAAACTCCGCTTTTACTCTACTCAATATTGTTGCTGGTCTTTCACTGCAATCATTTTCAGCTTCAGTCTGTGTGTGCCCCCTAGTGGTCAAACAGATGGATTTTCTCTGACATTGGCAAAATAAGGTACAATAGACCCCTAAACTTCAAGTTGGAGATTGACTGTGGTGTATTAGTGGAGGTATTCACCCTTTGAACCCCAATACAGTGTAGGTCATCAGGGTGGAGAAGGGGAAGTTGACGTGTGTATGAGGGGGGCTCAGAGCCTCTTGCCCTCCAGGATGCTCCTCCAGTCATCTGCCCAGGAGAGCAGGCGGCGGTGGTTGGAGCTGGGGAGTATGTGCTTGTTGTGGCAGGCAGTGAATAGGATGTGCTCCCAGGTTGGGTTAGGCTCTACACCTGCAACAGAGGTGTATTCAGTAGTTAGAGACAAATACTAGCTACTGAATATACCTATGTGTATGACAGTAGCATGCATATGGCACCATCATATAAATACATGCACATATATTTACACACACCAAGTTTTCCAGCTTTGCTACAAACACTTGACTCACCGAGAATGTCTGGCTTGTCATCTATGAGGATGTCCCCAGTCACCACAGTCTTGTCTCTGGTTAGGATGATCTGGTCCAAGAAATCATAGCCCAGGTGCTTCTCTATCCAGGCATACTGAACACACACCAGAGAGAGCGCAAAGACCAGACATATTGTTAGAAAGAGGTACCACAACCACCACTCTGCCTACAGGATTACTGTCTTGACTCTGAGCTTACCTTCTCATATGGGCAGTGTATATAATGTTTTATAGGGCTGGTGCAAACAAAGACATCTGTGCTGGAAAACGGAGAAGAACACAACTGGGTTAGTTTGTTTTCAATGTCAATTTTCTACAACATACCGTTTTTGAAAGGTAAGCAAAGGGGATGTTCTAACATTAGGATATAGGCTAGTATTGGAACAGAGTTACTGTGAATGTATTGTTTCATGATGAGGGCATTTGCTTGAGGTTAACTACTATTTGGTTGTTGACGTAAGGTCGGCCAAAATGAAACACTAAAGCAAAGGTTCCATCTATAAAGACAGCGTGGTCCTCTGTAGCTCAGTTGGTAGAGCATGGCACTTGCAACGCCAAGATAGTGGGTTCGATTCCTGGGATCACCCATACATAAAATGCATGCATGCCTGACTAAGTCGCTTTGGAGAAAAGTGTGTCTACTAATGTGCTATTAGCATGATTACATTTTAACACAGCAGAGCACACTATGACATAACATTTCCCTTCCTGAGATGATTACTATGCAACTCTAGCACCGCCTTCTCCACCCTATTTGTTTAACATGACCCATAGAATATAGCCTATGGGTGATGACTAAATGACAGATAGTCTCTAGGTGAGGGTCAAAACAATGTAAAGCACTTTGGGAACACAAACAGCAATTCCTTCTCTTTGAACAGCTGACTCAATACAGCACCGGGCAAGTGTCTTTGAAATGAATGTGAATATTTTTTGAACATTTCGTAAACTATGGTATTGTTCAGATATGGTTTGAATGACCATATACGGTTAAAACTTACTTCTCCATTTTAGCCATCTCCTTGACCGCCTGCACTCCTCCAGGAAGGGGCTCCAGCTCTTTAAAGAAGTCCTTTGACTGCCAAATGCTGATGGCCTTCTCCTACAGTCAATATAGCCTCTGCTTATCATCCACAGACTTATATAGATTGTGTGTGTGTGTTAATTTATGGCATACACAGAGGACCAAGATGCATGGCATACTTTAATACTCTGCCTGTCCAGTCTCCCTTTATGTTTGACATCATTATACAATAAAAGGGTTATGGGAGACATCTTTATCAAGTACATGCTTGCTATGGCTTTACTGTGGAAATAGAGGGCTGTCTGGAGAAACTGGGGTTGCGTTATAAAGCAGAAATGAAAGCGCTTTTGTCACGAGCCACCATGAGAGTAGGGTTAACTAGACACAAGGACTTTGTTATAAATAATATCTGTGTGTGACTGGCATTTACACAATTCAATGCACTGACAGCTGCTGCTCTAGCAACCTTTTGAACATGCTGGGGACTTCTGATGCAAATGAATGAGCGACATGAAAAGCGCTCATTCAACCACAGACAATATACAGACAATGAATGTATGAGAATACAATTAATCGTATGGCTTTTTCCTGTTTTCACAGCCAGAATGCACAGTTCGGAACTACTTACACACAGGTCACTCCTCAAGCTCCCATACTGAGACGACACCCAGAATCCTCGTCTGTCCTCCAGGGCGATGTACGGTTCGTTGGGGTACTTGGCCCGGTATTTCTTCAGGAATCCCCCTTCGAAGTCTGCAATGACGCCATCCATGTCCACCAGCACCCGAAGTCTCTTACCAGAGGAAGAAGACATCTTCGCGGAAATACACTTGAACTGGTCATGGAGTAAAGTCCTCTCTCTGCCGAGTAGGCGTAACGTTACTATCCGAGGCAGTAATGACATTATTTACTTGCCTCGCTGATTTCTGTCCGTGATCCAACGAAGACTCCCGATGCGCGAGATAAGTATTCGAAACTCCAGAATCAAAAAATGCAATGTGTTATTCCTAATACTGATGGGTGCTATTTAAACAAACACTTTTTGGGGGACGTTGCTAATATGTAACTAACAAAAAAAAATGGTTTTAACCTTTATTACAATTGGTCAGGCTATGGCACTTGTGCTGCATAGCATTAGCCAGCAAGCTAGCTAACGTTAGCACTACCGGTGTGTTGATTAGCGCACAGGGTCAAATTTGACCTAAGCCTTTTCTTTCAGCACTGTATTTGGACTTGTTTACGACTCTTATCAGTATGGACTGGTTCTACAGCAGTTACTGTCGCATCTCACAACCCTTACCAGCCGCACAGCAGCTGTGAAATTTGGTCCAAATACTCTCATTAGTGTCGCCTACTGTACAAAATCCTGCAGTCAAAGACAATGTCGTGAAACGAGAAACGCACGTGTCCTCAGTTTCTCAGTGGGTTTTAAAAAGACAGAGGCAAACGTGTACCATGGCGAGTGAAAGGGAAAACGTCAACAACATTTAACTTTTTACATTGGTCCTCTGTAGCTCAGCTGATAGAGCACGGCGCTTGTAACGCCAGGGTAGTGAGTTCGACCCCCGGGACCACCCATACACAAAAATGTATGCACGCATGACTTTAAGTCGCTTTGGATAAAAGCGTCTGCTAAGTGGCATATTATTATTATTACTTCAAAAGAGGCTGACCATGCATGCAGCACGAGGAGCTAAATAACAGGGAAGGGAGGAATCAGTCAGATTCAGAGTGTTTAATAGTCACATGTACAAGGTTGCAGGTGTGATTGCAGGGTACAGTGAAAATCTTAGGCCCCGAGCTCCAACATGCAGGACTAAGTTAAATAAAATAATTTAAATGGTAATAAATAAATAACTATAGAAATAGTACTATATACATCATAACAACTGTAGCAGTGATGAATAAATAAATGTCCATTGGGGTGGAGGCAGAGTAAAGACTGTTGGGGGGGGTCCAAGTGAACCAAGTGAAATAAGAACAATAAAAGTAATAATATACATATTAACAACTGCAACAGTGATGAATGTCGTTGGGGTGGTCGGCTGCACGTATCAACTTCTGAAGCACCTTGCAGTCCGCGGCAGTGGAGTTGCCAGTATGCTCTCGATGGTGCTCCTGTAGAACACTGTGAGGGCCCTCGGGGACAGGCCGAATTTCAGCTCTGGAGAACACAGGTGCTAGACTCTTTCCAGTTCCCACACAGCCATGAGTGCCATGAATCTGGCAAGCAAGACTACACAGGTGTGGTCAATGGGAAGACAAATCCAATGAGGAGCCCAGAACAATGAAGAGATCCTGAGAAGCAGCTACAGTTAACAGAGTGGAGTGTGCTGGCCTATTGTGTGGTTTGATAATTGTATGTGGTAGGCCTACTGGGTAGGGAGCAGGGGAGGTCTCTGGCTCATTGGTAAACTGCTGGGAGACGTTGAGTGTCCCCTTGAAGGGGCCACCAATCTTGTTTTGCCAAATCACATCTGAAACAAGGCTAATATTGTAGACAATTAATTTATTATATATAATTTTAATTGTTGAGCTGTACCATGTGTATCCTGTTCATATGACAAATAAACTTGACTTGACTCCATACACACATACAGTCTAAAATGCAGGGCTATTCAATTAACCTTGTGTTACTGGTGTCCCAGTCCAGATCTGAATCAGTCCCATTAGAGGGAAACAATGAAAAACAGTACTGCCCTGTGGCCCTCCACTGCTGTATTTGAGTGGGAAATCTCAAATTGTATAATATCTTTGCCTGCAACCCGGTAGCAGCTGCACTGCACTTCCTGTGTTTACTGGTTTGTGATCCTTTCTTAAAGTGATAGCACAGGGAGACAAATTCCCAATGAATACAATTCCTGATAACAAATAAAGACAATCAGCAGATGTTTAGAGGGGGTGTACGTTTCGAGCAAAGGAGGAAATAAATTGTAGCAAACAGCAATAACTAGGTTTCTGATAAATTAAAATGTTGTGTCCCTTTAAGAGCCTAAAGTTCCAACCGTAAATCTCGTTGGATCCCGTCTGTTCTTACGAAGGTCTCACGATACTTCTCTCTCAGTGGCGGCTGTGTGGCCCCCTGTCTCAGCCAGCACGGACAGAGTTGTTTCTGACATTTGAATGAAAAACAGTCTGAATTGCTACCACTTTGGACAGATGAAATAATGGCTTCAGCCTTGGAGCAGTTCGTGAACAATGTGCGGCAGCTCTCCGCTCAAGGTATGGACACTAAACAGGTTTTAGTTGTCAGACGAGCTGGAACTATTAGCCAATGCTAACCAATGCGTTACTGTGCTGTTATCATGCATAACTAGCTAGGCTAGGTAGCCAAACTGGATAGATCCTTTTTGCATTATCATGTAAACACAGCGCTAAATTGATTGTTTTGGTGAACAAGGCCTCAAAAAAGTAGTTCACAAAGATGCGTTTTTACCCCGGGACACTAAAGTGTACCTCAAACAACACTGCAAACGGATACGTGTTTTAAAATCTTACTTTTTGTTTTTGTTAGAGAAAATAATTTCTGGGGAATGCCTACCGGTAGTTCCGCCCTAAGCACGCGCGATTGGTTGAAGAGCGCCATTGTCAAATGTTATTGGTCGACAGTCCCATCTGTAACGCAATATGCGATACTTCCATCGCTAGTGTACCAAGTGCAGGCCTTGACAGGACACTTGACCGGCCGATATATTTTACAGTTGCCAAGTACCTCAAGTCCTCCATGATTTCATCCATGGGGAGGTTTAGTATCCGCAAAGAATGTGATCTATGCAGCTAGACCGCGTTTCATTATAAAAAATATGCTAAATATTCTTAGTGGCACCCAATATTCTATTCCATTTTATTTTTCTTACAAAATGATTACATATGCAGGTGTATTCAGTTGACATTCTGGCTATTTTGTTCTTACAGTTTTTATAGCCTGCTATTTATAGCCTGTATTAAAATATCGTTAGAAATAAGTGAACAACATAAATAAATATTTAGTTTGGACTATCATGGGCTTTCATCTCTGGGTAAGATGGGTGTAAAGTGGGTCTGCTGTTGGACAATAATGTGTGGGTTAGAGTTTGGGAGGGCTCCATCTAAAAATGGGAGAAACACTTGTGTAAACGAAACTATTTAGGATATAGGCTCTTCAACCTATATTCACACATGAACTCCCTTTTGATTTGGACCTGTACTTCTCTTCAACCAGCTCTAATAGCTCAACTATCAAGTGCTGCATTGTTTGTTTACCTATTGTCTTTACTGTTGCATATCAGGTCAGATGACACAGCTGTGTGAACTGATCAACAAGAGCGGGGAGCTGTTGGCCAAGAACCTGTCCCACCTGGACACTGTACTGGGGGCCTTGGACATCCAGGAACACTCCCTGGGTGTGCTGGCTGTGCTGTGAGTAGCCTGCTCTCTTCTGCAGTCATCTAATTCTTGATCAATGATTATAAGTCAATAACTGATCTAGGATATGACTTTGAGTCAGTTTCTGCTTACTGTACCTGTGTGCATTCGAGGCTAATAACTCAGGAAAGGATATTACACAGATCAAGGTGTTAAAATAAAATTGTGTGTCTGTTGAAACTGTCTGTCTTATACAGTCTACAATCTTTGTTGTTTTAATATACCATGGCAACATTTTTCTTGTGTACTCACGACCAGTTTTCACTTTCCCTTCATACAGGTTTGTGAAGTTCTCAATGCCAAACATCCCTGACTTTGAGACGCTCTTTTCCCAAGTCCAACTCTTTATCAGTACCTGCAATGGGGAGCACATCCGATATGCAACAGACACTTGTAAGTCTAAACGTAACTTATTTTTGGTTTCTAGAAGCCTTGTATTGATGTGTTGTTTACTCCATAAGGTGTTAACGCCTTGTAGTGATTAAAGTGTTTTCTAAGGAATTTGGATAATGTTTTTCAAGGTCAAATGATCAGGGCAAAATTAATTTAACTTGAACCTGTTAAACCAGGGGTTCCCAAACTTTTTTGCCCTGAAACCCCATTTTGACGTAAACAAATTTTGCGACCCCCACCATGTAAAAAAAGAAGAAAAAAGGTGATGTAATCAACGGCCAATGTTTACTTTTTTAATTGGGTCTATTACAAATCAGTCTGACAGTATTTCAATCTGAGGAAGTAGTTTGAAGTGATTGAAATGGATCAGAAAGGTATTGGGAAGTTCATCAGGCAATAATTGTCACCTGCGATGAAATCGAGGAGGGGACTGTGGATCTGTGCATTTACATTTTACATTTTGGTCATTTAGCAGACGCTCTTATCCAGATTTGAATTACAGTTAGTGAGTGCATACATTTTTCATACTGGCCCCCTGTGTGAAACGAACCCACAACCCTGGCGTTGCAAGCGCCATGCTCTACCAACAGAGCTACAGGGGACCCTACATTAGTCACACGCGATATCTGACAGCACTGTCCCGATTTTGACGAAACTTCGGTGATTGATGCGTCTTGTAGAGATCCGGTATTAACAAAATTACACTGATTGGCCGAAGGCGGGAGCTAGTAATTAACTGAAATGTGTTAATCACATACGGTATCCCAATTAGGCCAACGGGGGGCGCTGCATCATTCGTGGGGGCGACATGTTTTCTTGTTTTGTATGATCTTCTGTGTAGAAAAGAACGTCATTATTGATTATGTTCTTTTTCCCCATCTGATTTAGTGCCTGGTCTTGTCCATTCTGTTCTAATGAGTCCTGCGCGGCTTGTGAGCATTGTAGAGGGAAACAGAAGATGCGTACGGGTTCCTGAGAGTGTTGTCTTTCTGTGATGTGGTTGTAATATTTTTTTAGCATAAACCGTTCAAAAGATAGAACCACATTTGTAGGAAGAAAATAGAAAAAGCTCTATTTATTACAACCGCATCTAGCGGCTACCAGAGATGACTGATGTAACCGTGATTCTATGAACCAAGCACAATTATTGTAAAAAAAAAAAAAATCTGTTTCTTTCGCGACCCCATTTTCATATCAGGTGACGCCACATGACGCCACAAACACCTAGTTTGGGAAACGCTGTAAAATCCACAATTTGATTATTCTCTTCACAGTTGCCGGCCTCTGCCATCAGTTGACAAACGCCCTTGTAGAACGGAAACAGGTAAGACTTGCCAAATGGCAGAAGAGCTAATGCATGAATTTACAGTGGGGGAAAAAAAGTATTTAGTCAGCCACCAATTGTGCAAGTTCTCCCACTTAAAAAGATGAGAGGCCTGTAATTTTCATCATAGGTACACGTCAACTATGACAGACAAAATGAGAAAAAAAATCCAGAAAATCACATTGTAGGATTTTTAATGAATTTATTTGCAAATTATGGTGGAAAGTAAGTATTTGGTCAATAACAAGTTTCTCAATACTTTGTTATCTACCCTTTGTTGGCAATGACACAGGTCAAATGTTTTCTGTAAGTCTTCACAAGGTTTTCACACACTGTTGCTGGGATTTTGGCCCATTCCTCCATGCAGATCTCCTCTAGAGCAGTGATGTTTTGGGGCTGTCGCTGGGCAACACAGACTTTCAACTCCCTCCAAAGATTTTCTATGGGGTTGAGATCTGGAGACTGGCTAGGCCACTCCAGGACCTTGAAATGCTTCTTACGAAGCCACTCCTTCGTTGCCCGGGCGGTGTGTTTGGGATCATTGTCATGCTGAAAGACCCAGCCACGTTTCATCTTCAATGCCCTTGCTGATGGAAGGAGGTTTTCACTCAAAATCTCACGATACATGGCCCCATTCATTCTTTCCTTTACACAGATCAGTCGTCCTGGTCCCTTTGGAGAAAAACAGCCCCAAAGCATGATGTTTCCACCCCCATGCTTCACAGTAGGTATGGTGTTTTTTGGATGCAACTCAGCATTCTTTGTCCTCCAAACACGACGAGTTGAGTTTTTTACCAAAAAAGTTATATTTTGGTTTCATCTGACCATATGACATTCTCCCAATCCTCTTCTGGATCATCCAAATGCACTCTAGCAAACTTCAGACGGGCCTGGACATGTACTGGCTTAAGCAGGGGGACACGTCTGGCACTGCAGGATTTGAGTCCCTGGTGGCGTAGTGTGTTACTGATGGTAGGCTTTGTTACTTTGGTCCCAGCTCTCTGCAGGTCATTCACTAGGTCCCCCCGTGTGGTTCTGGGATTTTTGCTCACCGTTCTTGTGATCATTTTGACCCCACGGGGTGAGATCTTGCGTGGAGCCCCAGATCGATGGAGATTATCAGTGGTCTTGTATGTCTTCCATTTCCTAATAATTGCTCCCACTGTTGATTTCTTCAAACCAAGCTGCTTACCTATTGCAGATTCAGTCTTCCCAGCCTGGTGCAGGTCTACAATTTTGTTTCTGGTGTCCTTTGACAGCTCTTTGGTCTTGGCCATAGTGGAGTTTGGAGTGTGACTGTTTGAGGTTGTGGACAGGTGTCTTTTATACTGATAACAAGTTCAAACAGGTGCCATTAATACAGGTAACGAGTGGAGGACAGAGGAGCCTCTTAAAGAAGAAGTTACAGGTCTGTGAGAGCCAGAAATCTTGCTTGTTTGTAGGTGACCAAATACTTATTTCCCACCATAATTTACAAATACATTCATTAAAAATCCTACAATGTGATTTTCTGGATTTTTTTTCCTCAATTTGTCTGTCATAGTTGACGTGTACCTATGATGAAAATTACAGGCCTCTCTCATCTTTTTAAGTGGGAGAACTTGCACAATTGGTGGCTGACTACATACTTTTTCCCCCCACTGTACTTATCTATTGACACTCATTTACATGGTCTGTTTGAAAAAATTACTCATGTTTTTACAAGATAAGACCCAGATTATGGCATTATTACTCTACATGATTTCAAAACCAAAAAGCCAACCCATGAGAATGCATATTGGTTCATTCTACTTTATATAAGTTTAATGCAGCTGTTTTTCAAAGAAAGATAGAATTGGCTCTGTTAATTCCATGCTTGGATATTTTATTTGTAATCACAGCAGTGGAGGGAATGTGAAACAGACGTCAGCGTGCTAGTTTAGCAGTACAACTCAGGGGAAACTGACCGTACCAAGGCTCAAACCTGGGGACCTCTGCCTTGCTAACATACGTGATCGCCCTGCTTGACAACGTACTATCCAGTTATGCCACCAAAACCGAACCTCGATGGCAACACTGGCGACATTTCAAGCTACAGTTGAAGTCGGAAGTTTACATACACTTAGGTTGGAGTCATTAAAACTCGTTTTTCAACCACTCCACACATTTCTTGTTAACAAACTATAGTTTTGGCAAGTCGGTTAGGACATCTACTTTGTAAGTAATTATTCCAACAACCTGAAAGGCTGCTCAGCAAGGAAGAAGCCACTGCTCCAAAACCGCCGTAAAAAAGCCAGACTACGGTTTGCAACTGCACATGGGGACAAAGATCGTACTTTTTGGAGAAATGTCCTCAGGTCTGATGAAACAAAAATAGAACTGTTTGGCCATAATGACCATCGTTATGTTTGGAGGAAAAAGGGGGTCCTTGCAAGACGAAGAACACCATTATGTGTATTTGGAAGGAAAATTATGTGGATATATTGAAGCAACATCTCAAGACATCAGTCAGGAAGTTAAAGCTTGGTCGCAAATGGGTCTTCCAAATGGACAATGACCCCAAGCATCCTAACAAAGTTGTGACAAAATGGCTTAAGGACAACAAAGTCAAGGTATTGGAGTGGCCATCACAAAGCCCTGACCTCAATCCTATAGAAAATGTGTGGGCAGAACTGAAAAAGCGTGTGCGAGCAAGGAGGCCTACAAACCTGACTCAGTTACACCAGCTCTGTCAGGAGGAATGGGCCATGTCAACTTCTGACCCACTGGGAATGTGACGAAATAAATAAAAGCTTAAATAAATAATTCCCTCTACTATTATTCAGACATTTCACATTCTTAAAATAAAGTGGTGATCCTAACTGACCTAAGACAGGGAATTTTTACTAGGATTAAATATCAGGAATTGTGAAAAACTGAGTTTAAATGTATTTGGCTAAGGTGTATGTATACTTCCAACTACAATTGTAGCTGTGGAGGGAGTTCACGGCACATTGTTGTTTCTGTTACATTTGGTTTAATGCATCTCTTTCCTTCATAGCCATTGAGGGGCGTCGGCATTCTAAAACAGGCAATAGACAAAATGCAGATGAACACAAACCAACTTACCTCAGTTCATGCAGACCTGTGTCAGGTGTGTAAACTTATTCATGTCAACTGGATCTTTGACTTTATATGATTATTGAAATGTGTTGATTCTTGGCTACGAGACTAAGAATGAATGACCCCTCAACAACTTTGTGTGTACATCCACAGCTGTGCTTGTTAGCAAAGTGCTTCAAGCCTGTCCTCCCGTTTCTTGAGCTTGACATGATGGACATCTGTAAGGAGAATGGCGCCTACGATGCAAAGCACTTTCTATGTTACTACTATTACGGAGGCATGATCTACACGGGTCTGAAGAACTTTGAAAGAGCACTGTATTTTTATGAACAGGTACTGGCTTATTTGAGAATCTAAAATGTGCATGCTAAAGCTGTTTTGGATGTGACTTAGTGTTCCTGTTATCAAAAGTGAATTGATTTAGCATACTACTAGTAACACATTTGCTAATCTTAATACCATTTCAAATGACCTTTTTAAGTTTAATATTTTGATACTAGGTATTTATACAGTAGTCAAGTACACCCTGAGTTGACATTGAATCTATTAGGGCATAGACTTGGCTGTAGTTGGTTTACTTCTCTAATTCCATTGTGTGATATTCTGATGATTCCCCCCCCCCCCCAGGCAATAACCACTCCAGCTATGGCAGTCAGTCACATCATGTTGGAGGCCTATAAGAAGTACATCCTGGTCTCCTTGATTCTACATGGCAAAGTGCAGCAGCTCCCCAAATACACATCACAGATAGTTGGGAGGTTCATAAAGGTGAGAATGAAGATGCAAAATGGCCCATATTTTACATCCTTAAATGTGCCATTACATCTTGAACACTAGAACCGCTGGGCCTCCATGGGCTCCCCTTCAAGCTAATGAGCAGTCATTCTGACTGCAACATTATAACAGTGTAATAATAATAATATCGCAAAAAAATATGAGTTGGTTGTGTTTATGAAGGTCTTAGGAACATTAGAATACGATTAAACAAAATATAAATAACACAATAGCATTTTCATTAGTTTATGTTACTGTACAGTCGTGGTCAATTTTTTTTTTACAATGACACAAATATTAATTTTCACAAAGTCTGCTGCCTCAGTTTTGATGATGGCAATTTGCATATACTCCAGAATGTTATGAAGAGTGATCAGATGAATTGCAATTAATTGCAAAGTCCCTCTTTGCCATGAAAATGAACTTAATCCCCAAAAAACATTTCCACTGCATTTCAGCCCTGCCACAAAAGGACCAGCTGCCATCATGTCAGTGATTCTCTCGTTAACACAGGTGAGAGTATTGACGAGGACAAGGCTGGAGATCACTCTGTCATGCTGATTGGGTTAGAATAACAGACTGGAAGCTTTAAAAGGAGGGTGGTGCTTGAAATCATTGTTCTTCCTCTGTTAACCATGGTTACCTGCAAGGAAACACGTGCTGCCATCATTGCTTTGCACAAAAAGGGCTTCACAGGCAAGGATATTGCTGCTAGTAAGATTGCACCTAAATCAACCATTTATCGGAGCATCAAGAACTTCAAGGAGAGAGGTTCAATTGTTGTGAAGAAGGCTTCAGGGCGCCCAAGAAAGTCCAGCAAGTGCAAGGACCGTCTCCTAAAGTTGAATCAGCTGTGGGATCGGGGCACCACCAGTGCAGAGCTTGCTCAGGAATGGCAGCAGGCAGGTGTGAGTGCATCTGCACGCACAGTGAGGCAAAGACTTTTGGAGGATGGCCTGGTGTCAAGAAGGGCAGCGAGGACACCACTTCTCTCCAGGAAAAACATCAGGGACAGACTGATATTCTGCAAAAGGTACAGGGATTGGACTGCTGAGGACTGGGGTAAAGTCATTTTCTCTGATGAATCCCCTTTCCAATTGTTTGGGGCGTCCGGAAAAAAGCTTGTCCGGAGAAGAAAAGGTGAACGCTACCATCAGTCCTGTGTCATGCCAACAGTAAAGCATCCTGAGACCATTCATGTGTGGGGTTGCTTCTCAGCGAAGGGAGTGGGCTCACTCACAATTTTGCCTAAGAACACAGCCATGAATAAAGAATGGTACCAACACATCCTCCGAGAGCAACTTCTCCCAACCATCCAAGAACAGTTTGGTGACGAACAATGCCTTTTCCAGCATGATGGAGCACCTTGCCATAAGGCAAAAGTGATAACTAAGTGGCCCGGGGAACAAAACATCGACATTTTGGGTCCATGGCCAGGAAACTCCCCAGACCTTAATCCCATTAAGAACTTGTGGTCGATCCTCAAGAGGCGGGTGGACAAACAAAAACCCACAAATTCTGACAAACTCCAAGCATTGATTATGCAAGAATGGGCTGCCATCATTCAGGATGTGGCCCAGAAGTTAATTGACAGCATGCCAGGGCGGATTGCAGAGGTCTTGAAACAGAAGGGTCAAAACTGCAAATATTGACTCTTTGCATAAACTTAATGTAATTGTCAATAAAAGCCTTTGACACTTATGGAATGCTTGTAATTATACTTCAGTATACCATAGTAACATCTGACAAAAATATCTAAAAACACTGAAGCAGCAAACTTTGTGAAGACCAATACTTGTGTCATTCTCAATTTTTGACCACGACTGTAGGGTGTATGGAAAAACAAAAAGCACAAACATTCAAGTGTTCAATCAGTTTGATTTGTGGTGTGCCTTTTGAGTATGAAGCAAAGCATATGTGTTGGGTCGCGGTAACAGCAACACCCCAACCACCAAGATGCATGGTCAGCAAGACATGCGGCCAAAATGATAAAAACAGTAGCCTAAATATCATTATAAGTGCTTGATTAGTAATGAAAATCGGCACAAAAGCAATAATGTCATTATAATTAAAATAAGTGTTGATATGACAGCAGTAAAAAATAGTAATTTATTGTCAGCTCGTGCTTATATGGTGTGCTTCTTCACGCAATGGCATCAGTTGGAGCATGTTCATGTCACATAAACGAAAGCTGGTGAGTGCGTTGCTGATGTTGTATGCTTGCAATGTAGGGTCTGCGCTCTGTGATGACATTTTGTGCTGATAATCGGTTGTAACATTGTCACAGGCTTGTTCTGTCCACACGGTGCTTTCTTGCCTATCCTTTCTCACCGTTTCATTTGGTGGTGGCGCGGGCACTTGCTCAGTGCCCACTATTCTGGCTTTTTTACGCTGTAGGTGTAGGTTCAGGCTGAGGTTCAGAATCAGAAGAATTGTCATCAGAGATGTCATGATTCATTTCTTCCCCACCATCTGAGTCGTTTTCATTCAGATTTTGTAGCAACGCTAACGCAGCATCTGCATCCATTCGTCTTGGTATTTTTGCCACTGTAAATTACACACACTTTCACTGTGTACTCCAAGTAGGCCAGAGTAGACTGATTGGATTCGGTGGACTGATATCGGGTTTCCGTTTGGAAAATGTGGCGCCGGACATTTGACCGGCAGCATTTTAATTTACCGGACATTTTGAGAAATTCTCCGGACCCATATGCATTGGGTGCTCAGAATGACAGAAATCACATTTAGAATATAGTCATTCATATTAACAGAACATGCAAGTCAAGGATGCAACGATGTGCGGCCCTTCTCACCAAATTCTGATGCACACTTTTAAGAAGTTAGAATATTTGTCCACATTTACTTTCCTCAGCCAACAAGACGGGTAACGAACAGAAAAATCACTAGCCTATGTCAATCCACTATCCCCCATAGTAGAAACGTTTAGCTATTCTATTGGTCAGCTTGTCGAGAAAGAAATGGCCTATTCCAAACAGACACTGGGACAGTTGTTGGACGATAGATCCTACATTTTTACAACCAGTAGACCTAGGCTACATTAAAAACCAATGAGGCAGATCAGATGATGCATTAGATCAGAACGTTTACTTTAAAATGTTGATAAACTATTATTTCTTAACATTATAAGCGCAGCAATGTGCACAAGGCAGTAGGGTACGCGCGAATGTTCGTTTCATAATGCAATTAACTGTAAAACATCGTTGTCAAAGCGCACCGCACATGCGAGCGGTTTCATGTGACCTGTTAGACATTTAGAAAGAGCGGAGAACTAATATGCAACAACTAGCATTGGTTGCTAATATGACTAGGATTGTGCCTTTGGCTACAGGAGAATGAAAGAAAGTTTATATAAAAGAATAGCCTCCACGGATATGGTCTGATTTTGGCTAGGCTACTTTGAAGCAAGGTAAGACGTGCCTCATAATATGTAGTAAAACGTTAAGGTTTCAAACAATTAAGTATATGTTTTCAAAATGCATACTGCCTCCAGCTCATTGCAAAGTGGTGTGTGACGCGCTAATGAAACCTGCCTTCTGTTACATATGCATGCTGTTTGAGATACTGTAGCAGCAGCGCTCATGCTGTCTGACAGAGTTTCTGCTCAAAGGCTCTGTATCTGTAAAGTCGTGGTCAAAGGTTTTGAGAATGACACAAGTATTGGTCTTCACAAAGTTCGCTGCTTCAGTGTTATGAGATATTTTTGTCAGATGTTACTATGGTATACTGAAGTATAATTACAAGCGTTCCATAAGTGTCAAAGGCTTTCATTGACAATTACATTAAGTTTATGCAAAGAGTCAATATTTGCAGTGTTGACCCTTCTTTTTCAAGACCTCTGCAATCTGCCCTGGCATGCTGTCATTTAACTTCTGGGCCACATCCTGACTGATGGCAGCCCATTCTTGCATAATCAATGCTTGGAGTTTGTCAGAATTTGTGGGTTTTTGTTTGTCCACCCGCTTCTTGATGATTGACCACAAATTCTCAATGGGATTAAGGTCTGGGGAGTTTCCTGGCCATGGACCCAAAATGTCGATGTTTTGTTCCCCGAGCCACTTAGTTATCACTTTTGCCTTATGGCAAGGTGCTCCATCATGCTGGAAAAGGCATTGGTTATCACCAAACTGTTATTGGATGGTTGGGAGAAGTTGCTCTCGGAGGATGTGTTGGTACCATTCTTTATTCATGGCTGTTTTCTTAGGCAAAATTGTGAGTGAGCCCACTCCCTTGGCTGAGAAGCAAAACCACACATGAATGGTCTCAGGATGCTTTACTGTTTGCATGACACAGGACTGATGGTAGCGCTCACCTTAAGGTGTTTTCCGGATGCCCCAAACAATCGGAAAGGGGATTCATCAGAGAAAATGACTTTACCCCAGTCCTCAGCAGTCCAATCCCTGTACCTTTTGCAGAATATCAGTCTGTCCCTGATGTTTTTCCTGGAGAGAAGTGGCTTCCCCGCTGCCCTTCTTGACACCAGGCCATCCTCCAAAAGTCTTTGCCTCACTGTGCGTGCAGATGCACTCACACCTGCCTGCTGCCATTCCTGAGCAAGCTCTGCACTGATGATGCCCTGATCCCGCAGCTGAATCAACTTTAGGAGACAGTCCTGGCACTTGCTGGACTTTCATGGGCGCCCTGACGCCGCCTTCAAAACAATTGAACCTCTCTCCTTGAAGTTCTTGATGATCCGATAAATGGTTGATTTAGGTGCAATCTTACTAGCAGCGATATCTTTGCCTGTGAAGCCCTTTTAGTGCAAAGCAATGATGACGTCACGTGTTTCCTTGCAGGTAACCATGGTTAACAGAGGAAGAACAATGATTTCAAGCACCACCCTCTTTTTAAAGCTTCCAGTCTGTTATTCTAACTCAATCAGCATGACAGAGTGATCTCCAGCCTTGTCCTCGTCAACACTCTCACCTGTGTTAACGAGAGAATCACTGACATGATGGCAGCTGGTCCTTTTGTGGCAGGGCTGAAATGCAGTGGAAAAGTTTTTTGGGGATTAAGTTCATTTTCATGGCAAAGAGGGACTTTGCAATTCATCTGATCACTCTTCAGGACATTCTGGAGTATATGCAAATTGCAATCATCAAAACTGAGGCAGCAGACTTTGTGAAAATTAGTATTTGTGTCATTCTCAAAACGTTTGACCACGAATGTATGCTGTAGGCCAACATGTGTGATAAATAAGATGCATAACGAATATACTGTACACACGCCAATTTAATTCCACAAAATTATGCAAAGTAATCTATAGACCAATAGATAAGCATGACTAGTCAAATGTATTTCCATCGACTGGTATTTCCATCAATGAATAGGCTGAAAAGCATTCTTTTGCAATGGGATATTTTCTTCTCCAGGACAATTGGTCGGCGGCCAAAAACAAATTAGGCCAAAAGCCGGCTGTTACCGGCTAAAGGAAACCCTGGTACATACCATTTTTTAAAATTATAGTTAGAATAGATCAATACATCATTCACAATTAGTGATGACATAATTATGCATTGTTCGCTTCCCCTTGCTCATCAACTCACCCATTCGCCCCCATCATACTTGACTTAATTTATTTAATCTGTTGTCATATGTGTGATATTAGTTTCGGTTCAGTTTCGAGGCAATTATCGGGGTGATTATCAACTAGGCACGGTACCTTAAACTATCGGGAAAAGGAGCGGAGCAGTACCTACTGAGGGGCAATGGGAAAACTATTCAAAAAATGACATGCCCTCCTTAAACTGGTTATAACTCCAGTTCTGTCTGTGATATTAAGATTCTAACGACATTGTTTTTTATATAGACTTTTCTTAAATAAGTCTATATAAAAAAACAAATGAAGGAGGGGGGCATAACTTTTAAAATGGCAGAGTAATAATTTATAAAAATTTTATGAACAGTCCAAATAACTGCTTTAGCGGTTCTAGTGTTGTGCTTGTTGTACTACATATAACATAGTATTACATATTCTACTGCTTTGTGTTTCTGCAGCCTCTCAGCAATGCCTACCATGAGCTTGCTCAGGTGTACGCCACCAACAACCCAGCAGAACTGCGCACCCAGGTGAACAAACACAGCGAGACCTTCACACGCGACAACAACACAGGCCTTGTCAAGCAGTGCCTGTCCTCCCTCTACAAGAAGAACATCCAGAGGCTAACAAAGGTATACTTCCTTCTCTCACCACAAATATGTCACCCGTAGCCAAGATATCCTTCCCTCACTCCACCCGAGCCACGGCCTGTTCACCCCGCTACCATCTAGAAGGTGGAGACAGTACAGGTGCATCAAAGCTGGGACCGAGAGACTGGAAAAACAGCTTCTATCTCCAGGCCATCAGACTGTTAGAGTCCCCACTAGCCGGCCTCCGCCCAGTACCCTGCCCTGAACTTTAGTCACTGTTACTAGCTGGCTATCACCCGATACTCAACCCTGCACCTTAGAGACTGCTGCCCTATGTACAAAGTAATTGAACACTGGTCACTTCAATCATGTTTCCATATTGTTTTACCCACTTCATATGTATATACTGTATTCTAGTCAAGGCTCATCCTATATAACTACTCCTGTACACACATTTTCTATTCATATACAGTGCCTTTGGAAAGTATTCAGACCCCTTTACTTTTTCCATATTTTGTTACGTTACAGCCTTATTCTAAAATGGATAAAATAAAATGTCTCAGCAATCTACACACACTACCCCATAATGACAAAGCGAAAACAGATACCTTATTTACATAAGTATTCAGACCCTTTGCTCTGAGACTCGAAATTTGAGCTCAGGTGTATCCTGTTTCCATTGATCATCCTTGAGATGTTTCTACAACTTGATTGGAGTCCACCTGTGGTAAATTCAATTGATTGGATATGATTTGGAAAGAACCACACCTGTCTATATAAGGTCCCACAGTTGACAGTGCATGTCAGAGCAAAAACCAAGCCATGAGGTTGAAGGAATTGTCCGTAGAGCTCCGAAACAGGCTAGTGTCGAGGCACAGATCTGGGGAAGGGTACCAAAACATTTCTGCAGCATTGAAGGTCCCCAAGAACACAGTGGCCTCCATCATTCTTAAATGGAAGAAGATTGAAACCACCAAGTCCCTTCCTAGAGCTGGCCGCCCGGCCAAACTGAGCAATTGGGGGAGCAGAGCCTTGGTCAGGGAGGTGACCAAGAACCCGATGGTCACTCTGACAGAGCTCTAGAGTTCCTCTGTGGAGATGGGAGAGCCTTCCAGAAGGACAATCATCTCTGCAGCACTCCACCAATCAGGTCTTTATTGTAGAGTGGCCAGACTGCTTGGAGTTTGCCAAACGGCACCTAAAGACTCAGACCATGAGAAACAAGATTCTCTGGTCTGATGAAACCAAGATTGAACTCTTTGGCTTGAATGCCAAGCATCACATCTGGAGGAAACCTGGCACCATCCCTACGGTGAAGCATGGTGGTGGTAGCATCATGCTGTGGGGATGTTTTTCAGCGGCAGGGACTGGGAGACTAGTCGGGATCGGAGGGAAAGATTAACTTAGCAAAGTACAGAGAGATCCTTGATGAAAACCTGCTCCAGAGCGCTCAGGACCTCAGACTGGGGCGACGGTTCACCTTCCAACAGGACAATGACCCTAAGCACACAGCCAAGACAATGCATGAGTGGCTTCGGGACAAGTCTCTGAATGTCCTTCAGTGGCCCAGCCAGAGCCCGGACTTTAACCCGATCTAACATCTCTGGAGAGACCTGAAAATAGCTGTGCAGCAACGCTCCCCATCCAACCTGATAGAGCTTGAGAGGATCTGCAGAGAAGAATGGGAGAAACTCCCCAAATACAGGTGTGGCAATCTTGTAGCGTCATACCCAAGAAGACTCGAGGCTATAATCGCTGCCAAAGGTGCTTCAACAAAGTACTGAGTAAAGTGTCTGAATACTTATGTAAATGTAATTTTTCAGGTTTTTATTTTTAATAAATTAGCAAAAATGTCTAAAAAAACAGATTTTGCTTTGTCATTATGGGGTGTTGTGTGTAGATTGATGAGGGGGGGAAAAACAATTTAATACGTTTTAGAATAAGGCTGTAACGTAACAATGTGGAATAAGTGAAGAGGTCTGAATACTTTCCAAAGGCACTGTACAGTACATAATGTCTATACACACCATATACAGCGGGGGAAAAAAAGTATTTATTCAGCCACCAATTGTGCAAGTTCTCCCACTTAAAAAGATGATAGAGGCCTGTAATTTTCATCATAGGTACACGTCAACTATGACAGACAAAATGAGGGAAAAAAATCCAGAAAATCACATTGTAGGATTTTTAATGAATTTATTTGCAAATTATGGTGGAAAATAAGTATTTGGTCAATAACAAAAGTTTCTCAATACTTTGTTATATACCCTTTGTTGGCAATGACACAGGTCAAATGTTTTCTGTAAGTCTTCACAAGGTTTTCACACACTGTTGCTGGTATTTTGGCCCATTCCTCCATGCAGATCTCCTCTAGAGCAGTGATGTTTTGGGGCTGTCGCTGGGCAACACTGACTTTCAACTCCCTCCAAAGATTTTCTATGGGGTTGAGATCTGGAGACTGGTTAGGCCACTCCAGGACCTTGAAATGCTTCTTACGAAGCCACTCCTTCGTTGCCCGGGCGGTGTGTTTGGGATCATTGTCATGCTGAAAGACCCAGCCACATTTCATCTTCAATGCCCTTGCTGATGGAAGGAGGTTTTCACTCAAAATCTCACGATATATGGCTCCATTCATTCTTTCCTTTACACGGATCAGTCGTCCTGGTCCCTTTGCAGAAAAACAGCCCCAAAGCATGATGTTTCCACCCCCATGCTTCACAGTAGGTATGGTGTTCTTTGGATGCAACTCAGCATTCTTTGTCCTCCAAACACGACGAGTTGAGTTTTTACCAAAAAGTTCTATTTTGGTTTCATCTGACCATATGACATTCTCCCAATCCTCTTCTGGATCATCCAAATGCACTTTAGCAAACTTCAGACGGGCCTGGACATGTACTGGCTTAAGCAGGGGGACACGTCTGGCACTGCAGGATTTGAGTCCCTGGCGGTGTAGTGTGTTACTGATGGTAGGCTTTGTTACTTTGGTCCCAGCTCTCTGCAGGTCATTCACTAAGTCCCCCCGTGTGGTTCTGGGATTTTTGCTCACCGTTCTTGTGATCATTTTGACCCCATGGGGTGAGATCTTGCGTGGAGCCCCAGATCGAGGGAGATTATCAGTGGTCTTGTATGTCTTCCATTTCCTAATAATTGCTCCCACAGTTGATTTCTTCAAACCAAGCTGCTTACCTATTGCAGATTCAGTCTTCCCAGCCTGGTGCAGGTCTACAATTTTGTTTCTGGTGTCCTTTGACAGCTCTTTGGTCTTGGCCATAGTGGAGTTTGGAGTGTGACTGTTTGAGGTTGTGGACAGGTGTCTTTTATACTGATAACAAGTTCAAACAGGTGCCATTAATACAGGTAACGAGTGGAGGACAGAGGAGCCTCTTAAAGAAGAAGTTACAGGTCTGTGAGAGCCAGAAATCTTGCTTGTTTGTAGGTGACCAAATACTTATTTTCCACCATAATTTGCAAATAAATTCATAAATAATCCTACAATGTGATTTTCTGGATTTTTTTCCATCAATTTGTCCGTCATAGTTGACGTGTACCTATGATGAAAATTACAGGCCTCTCTCATCTTTTTAAGTGGGAGAACTAGCACAATTGGTGGCTGACTAAATACTTTTTTCCCCCACTGTATATTTATATTCCGGACTCTGACATTGTTCACTCTAATATTTTTTAATTCCTGTCTTAAACTTTTTGGATTTGCGTGTATTGTTAGGTAGTACTGCACTGTTGGAACTAGGAACATAAGCATTTCGCTACACCCACGATAATATCTGGAAAATATGTGAACTCGACCAAGAAAATTTGATTTGATTCGACTATACCAACTCAGCCCAAATATATCCTCCCACAACCTCCAAATTGACCTCAATATTCCGCCCTATATTTAATACCCCCTTCAGATCATATATCTTCTTAGACACAAATATGACCCCCTCACCTCACATACTTCCCTCCTAATATATCTACCAATACTCCTCGCTCACCTCAAGTACCTCACCCTTACCCCCAATACACCGTTCTCATCCCTAATATCCCTCCGTCCGCATTAAACTATATTCAAAATATACTGTCTACCTTCCTCGTCCCTATCTTCACCCTGTTACAAGGGTGACGATATGTAAACAAAGTATTTAAAGCAAATGGTCAGAATGTATCTGACCACCGTTCTTTCTTTGCAGACTTTCTTGACGCTGTCCTTGCAAGACATGGCGAGTCGAGTGCAGCTGTCTGGGCCCCAGGAGGCCGAAAAGTATGTCTTGCACATGGTAAGCCAACGCGACCGCAGGAGGATAGGCATGCTTTATCTCAGTACTCTAAGAACACTCACTTTTGAATGTCTGAAAGAAAATGGCCTTCATTGATTTGTCCATTGGTTACATTTTCTGTTCCTTACAGATTGAAGATGGTGAGATCTATGCCAGCATCAACCAAAAGGATGGCATGGTCTGTTTCCATGACAACCCGGAGAAATACAACAACCCTGCAATGCTTCACAAAATTGACCAAGAGGTAAGAGAATGGTAATGTTGATTATCTATCCTTGAATGAAAATGACTGTTGAGGTACAATGAAGTGATAAATTAATTGCGTCTCTTTTGGTAATGTTTTAGGGAAGTAAATGCCTTGTTCTGTGTCCTTCACAGATGCTGAAGTGTATAGAGCTGGATGAGAAACTAAAGTCCATGGATCAAGAAATCACAGTTAACCCGCAGTTTGTGCAGAAGGTAAGAAGTCCTTTAGGCTCCTCTAGAGGTTTTCCAAGAGGAGTATATTTGAAATTCAGGTGTTTGAGGGTTGGTTGGTTGTTTTTTAAATATTTTTATCCCATTCTCAGAAATATATCAAGTAGCCATATGAAACATCTAGTCTTCCAGTTATTATTATACAAATGATTGCTAATGGTTAGCATCACATTGTGTGTTTCAGAGTATGGGAACGCAGGAGGATGACGTTGGCAGCAAAACGTCCAGTTACTCCTGAGGGCCATGGACAGGGGAGAACACTGCCACCCTTCAGGTTCTCATTGGATGACTTTTTTTAAAAGAGGAAAAACATTCTATTGAGTATGGACATTGGTCAAGGAAAATCTAAATGTGTGGAATGATAATTTGGTTATTTCTTTCATGGTGTCTTGAGGAAACCTTAACAAAAAAACAATTTTGTCAGTGTTTTATTTATCATTGTTCAGGTGGATGAGCCACTGCTGCATTAACAACCATAATAATAAAAACTGGACTTATTTGTTCAAAAAGGAAGTGTGATAAAGCACAGTTTTTCTGTTGCATGTTCATTTTTGAGGTATTTCCTTTTACATGCAACATTTGAGGAAATCTTAAGTCTCCTGTTTCGAACATCAGTAATCGACCAGCTAGCATAATTGTTTTGGTCAAATCACCTGGAGATTTGACAACAAAAGCAAGGCTGTACTTCTGCCCTTGACCAAATGTAGAGAGGATAGTACAGTTTTTTTTTTTAAAGATGGTGCACCGTTATTTCCATCCCCTAGAGGTCTCTCGTGTACTGTGTTGTGCTGTAGTTTGAATTTACTGCAGGTGGAATGAGCTCTGAGCTGGAGACATACTTATCTGTTATCTGGAAGGACTCAAGATTTGCGGTTTTGAATCTCTCGAAATACATTGATTCAGTAAATTGACACAATTTTGAATTAAATGTATCACATCACATTCCTGTTTTGTCAGCAGTGTTTACCCTAGTTTTCTGACATTCAGTGCTACTTATGGCTCAGCTATTTGTGCAGTGTTTCGTTTGTCGTTTTTTAACAGAGAGATGTAGGATTTATTGTATTGGAAAGCCTCAACTTAACCCATTCATGTCCATAACGGACATTTTGAAATGTCTTTTGGTACACTTGTTCTCTGAGCTTACTGATGGATAATTCAAAATATTTATTTTTTTATCAGCCAAAGCGGATGTCTACAATGTGAGTTTTTGGTATTGTACTACATTTCATGAGTCAAATAATATGAATACATGTTCAAATGATCAGATCTTAATCATTTTTGGTATATAGATTGCCTGGATGTATGTGTATCCTATCTAATCTATCTATCTATCCAAAAGTACACAAAAAAACAGAGTGCTGTAGCATGTAAAAATCACCTGTCCTCGGTTGCAACACTCACTACCGAGTTCCAAACTGCCTCTGGAAGCAACGTCAGGAGCTTCATGAAATGGGTTTCCATGGCCGAGCAACTGCACACAAGCCTAAGGTCACCATGCACAATGCCAAGTATTGGCTGGAGTGGTGTAAAGCTTGCCACCAATGGACTCTTGAGCAGTGGAAACGCGTTCTCTAGAGTGATGAATCACGCTTCACCATCTGGCAGTCCGACAGATGAATCTGGGTTTGGCTGATGCCAGGAGAATGCTACCTGCCCTAATGCATAGTGCCAACTGTAAAGTTTGGTGGAGGAGGAATAATGGTCTGGGGCTGTTTTTCATGGTTCGGGCTAGGCCCCTTAGTTACAGTGAGGAGAAATCTTAACGCTACAGCATACAATGACATTCTAGACGATTCTGAGCTTCCACCTTTGTGGCAACAGTTTAGGGAAGGCCCTTTCCTGTTTCACAATGACAATGTCCCCGTGCACAAAGTGAGGTCCATACAGAAAATGGTTTGTCGAGATCGGTGTGGAAGAACTTGACTGGCCTGCACAGAGCCCTGACCTCAACCCCATCGAACACCTTTGGGATGAATTGGAACGCCGACTGCGAGCCAGGCCTAATCGCCCAACATCAGTGCCCGACCTCACTAATACTCTTGTGGCTGAATAGAAGTCCCTGCAGCAATGTTCCAACATCTAGTGGAAAGCCTTCCCAGAAGAGTGGAGGCTGTTCAACGGCTCAGACACAAGATGTATGTGGCAGGGTCTACAGACAATCACGGACTACAAAAGGAAAACCAGCCACGTCACAGACACCGACGTCTTGCTTCCGGACAAGCTAAACACCTTCGCCCACTTTGAGGATAATACACGCGGCCCGCTACCAAGGACTGTGGGCTCTCCTTCTCCGTGGCCGACGTGAGTAAGACATTTAAGCATGTTAACCCCCTAGATGGCCTCCCTAGCCGCGTCCTCAGAGCATGCGCATACCAGCTGGCTGGTGTGTTTACGGACATATTCAATCTCTCCCTATCCCAGTCTGCTGTCCCCACATGCTTCAAGATTGCCACCATTTCCCCTGTACCCAAGAAAGCAAAGGTAACTGAACTAAATCACTATTGCCCCTGTAGCACTCACTTCTGTCATCATGAAGTGCTTTGAGAGACTAGTCAAGGATCATATCACCTCTACCTTACCTGCCACCGTAGACCCACTTCAATTTGCTTACCGCCCCAATCGATCCACAAACGATGCAATTGCTATCACACTGCACACTGCCCTATCCCATCTGGACAAGAGGAATACCTCTGTAAGAATGCTGTTCATTGACTATAGCTCAGCATTCAACACCATAGTACCCTCCAAGCTCATCATTAAGCTCGAGGCCCTGGGTCTGAACCCCGCCCTATGTAACTGGGTCCTGGACTTCCTGACGGGCCGCTCCCAGGTGGTGAAGGTAGGAAACATCACCTCCACTTCGCTGAACCTCAACCCTGGGGCCCCACAAGGGTGTGTGCTCAGCCCCCTCCTGTACTCCCTGTTCACCCATGACTGCGTGGCCAAGCACACCTCCAAGTCAATCATCAAGTTTGCAGACGACACAACAGTAGCAGGCTTGATTACCAACAATGACGAGACAGCCTACAGGGAGGAGGTGAGGGCTCTGAGAGTGTGGTGCCAGGTAAATAACCTCTCACTCAATGTCAACAAAGCAAAGGAGATGATCGTTGACTTCAGGAAACAGCAGAGGGAGCACCTCCGTATCCACATCGACGGGACCTCAGTGGGGAAGGTGGAAAGCTTAAAGTTCCTCGTTGTACACATCACTGACAAACTGAAATGGTCCATCCACACAGACAGTGTGGTGAAGAAGGCGCATCAGAGTCTCTTCAACCTCAGGAGGCTGAAGAAATGTGGCTTTCTTCACCTAAAACCCTCACAAACTTTTACAGATGCACAACTTGAGAGCATCCTGTCGGGCTGTATCACTGCCTGTTATGGCAACTGCACGTGGCTCTCCAGAGGGTGGTGCGGTCTGCACCATGCATCACCGGGGGCAAACTACCAGCCCTCCAGGATACCTACAGCACCCGATGTCACAGGAATGCCAAAAAGATAATCAAGGACAACAACCACCTGAGCCACTGCCTGTTCACCCCGCTATCATCCAGAAGCAGAGGTCAGTACAGGTGCATCAAAGCTGGGACCGAGAGACTGAAAAACAGCTTCTATCTCAAGGCCATCAGACTTTTAAATAGCCTTCACTAGCACATTAGAGGCTGCTGCCTATATACATAGATTAGAAATCACTGGCTACTTTAATAAATGGAACAATAGTCACTTTAATGATGTTTACATATCTTGCATTACTCATCTCATATGTACAGTGGGGAAAAAAAGTATTTAGTCAGCCACCAATTGTGCAAGTTCTCCCACTTAAAAAGATGAGAGAGGCCTGTAATTTTCATCATAGGTACACGTCAACTATGACAGACAAATTGAGAAAAAAATATCCTGAAAATCACATTGTAGGATTTTTTATGAATTTATTTGCAAATTATGGTGGAAAATAAGTATTTGGTCACCTACAAACAAGCAAGATTTCTGGCTCTCACAGACCTGTAACTTCTTCTTTGAGGCTCCTCTGTCCTCCACTCGTTACCTGTATTAATGGCACCTGTTTGAACTTGTTATCAGTATAAAAGACACCTGTCCACAACCTCAAACAGTCACACTCCAAACTCCGCTATGGCCAAGACCAAAGAGCTGTCAAAGGACACCAGAAACAAAATTGTAGACCTGCACCAGGCTGGGAAGACTGAATCTGCAATAGGTAAGCAGCTTGGTTTGAAGAAATCAACTGTGGGAGCAATTATTAGGAAATGGAAGACATACAAGACCACTGATAATCTCCCTCGATCTGGTGCTCCACGCAAGATCTCACCCCGTGGGGTCAAAATGATCACAAGAACGGTGAGCAAAAATCCCAGAACCACACAGGGGGACCTAGTGAATGATCTGCAGAGAGCTGGGACCAAAGTAACAAAGCCTACCATCAGTAACACACTACGCCGCCAGGGACTCAAATCCTGCAGTGCCAGACGTGTCCCCCTGCTTAAGCCAGTACATGTCCAGGCCCGTCTGAAGTTTGCTAGAGTGCATTTGGATGATACAGAAGAGGATTGGGAGAATGTCAGATGAAACCAAAATAGAACTTTTTGGTAAAAACTCAACTCGTCATGTTTGGAGGACAAAGAATGCTGAGTTGCATCCAAAGAACACCATACCTACTGTGAAGCATGGGGGTGGAAACATCATGCTTTGGGGCTGTTTTTCTGCAAAGGGACCAGGACGACTGATCCGTGTAAAGGAAAGAATGAATGGGGCCATGTATCGTGAGATTTTGAGTGAAAACCTCCTTCCATCAGCAAGGGCATTGAAGATGAAATGTGGCTGGGTCTTTCAGCATGACAATGATCCCAAACACACCGCCCGGGCAACGAAGGAGTGGCTTCGTAAGAAGCATTTCAAGGTCCTGGAGTGGCCTAGCCAGTCTCCAGATCTCAACCCCATAGAAAATCTTTGGAGGGAGTTGAAAGTCTGTGTTGCCCAGCGACAGCCCCAAAACATCACTGCTCTAGAGGAGATCTGCATGGAGGAATGGGCCAAAATACCAGCAACAGTGTGTGAAAACCTTGTGAAGACTTACAGAAAACGTTTGACCTGTGTCATTGCCAACAAAGGGTATATAACAAAGTATTGAGAAACTTTTGTTATTGACCAAATACTTATTTTCCACCATAATTTGCAAATAAATTCATTAAAAATCCTACAATGTGATTTTCTGGAAAATTTTTTCTAATTTTGTCTGTCATAGTTGACGTGTACCTATGATGAAAATTACAGGCCTCTCATCTTTTTAAGTGGGAGAACTTGCACAATTGGTGGCTGACTAAATACTTTTTTCTCCCACTATATGTCCAGGCAATCTATATACAAAAAATAATTAGGATCTGATCATTTTAACTTGTATTCATATTACTTGATTCATGAAATGTGTAAAAAGAAGAAAAAAAACAGTAACCCAGTGTGTCCAAAGACTAAATATAGTACAATACAGAAACAGCTGTATGTCACAAACAACAATGAGTTTAATCATATATTTGGAATATTTGGCTTAGAACAGGTCAAATAACAATATTATATGCTTTTAAACAATTTAAGTCTGACATATATTTAAAAATACATATGCTGAAGTTATTTTCATGATTATTTTTTGTTACATTTTCTCAAAATCCCAACTTTGACATTGTCATAATCTATCATAATTCCAATCGTAACATTTGGCCAATGTGGCCTGTCTAGATACTTGCACGAACTACAGTGCATTCGGAAAGTATTCAGACCCCTTCCCTTTTTCCACATTTTGTTACTTTACAGCATCATTCTAAAATTGAATAATACAAAAACAAATCTTAAATCTACACACAATACCCCATAATGACAAAGAGTAAACAGGTTTTTAGAAATTGTTGCTTATTTATAAAAAATATAAAACATACCTTTTTTACATAAGTATTCAGAGCCTTTACTATGAGACTCGAAATTGAGCTCAGGTGCATCCTGTTTCTGTTGCTCATCCTTGAGAAGTTTCTACAACTTGATTGGAGTCCACCTGTGGTATATTAAATTGTTGGACATTTGGAAAGGCACACACACCTGTCTATATAAGGTCCCACAGTTGACAGTGCATGTCAGAGCAAAAACCAAGCCATGAGGTCGAAGGAAATATCCTTAGAGCTCCGAGACAGGATTGTGTCGAGGCACCGATCTGGGGGAAGTGTACCAAAAAATGTCTGCAGCATTGATGGTCCCCAAAA